GGACTTTAAATTTGGTGATATTGTCTTGAAAAAGTAGTCCTATTTTTTTTTATATATAAATGCTATGTTTTTATACTTTAATCAGTTTTTGTTTAAAAAATGCTACTGTAGATAAAAATGATACATTTTACAATACAAATATAATGCTGACTTTATTTTTAATTTTATAATAATTTTGTATTTTTGTAATGACAAAATTAATTAAAACATAATAATGTAGTTAATAATGGCTACATAATGTATTCAATTGGTTAAAAAATCAATCAGTAATAATGGGTTAAATGGGAGCTTGAAAATACAAATACTTGGCAGGAATATTTAGCTGACAGTATAAAGCAGAACAAAGCTCATCCTGTGATCTTCAGATGAATGAAACAGAATGCACACAAAATTAAACTGTCAATTATTACTTTGTATCTCTCTATCTTTAATCTGGACAGCATTTATCAACATTGTATCAGACATCTGTTTTTTTGGCAGCAGAGGAATGGGAAGGAAAAACATTTGCTAATTGCTCAGTTTAATAGCAAAATTCAACCTCTGATGAAATCTCACTGCTAAGACACTTTTAAAAGTACTTTCTCAATATGTCAGATAGATGTCTTACTTAAAGCAGTTCTTTCATTACAAGCAAGGTCTGGCCTATTTACTGACAGTACCACCACTGTTGAAAAAGCTGCAGTATAAAAAAAAAACCCGTGGGGATACAAATTTCATAGATACTAATTTCCAGGTGATCATGTCACCATCATTCAAGTTAGATCAGGGAAAAGTGAAGTAGCCCAAATCTCATGGGATCAAATGTTTGCACTTTGCTGGAGTGTCAGTTCACAAGATTTGAGCTACTCATCATAATATGCCAGAAGGTGTGACCAGTGGCATAATAATATTCATAACAGCACATGCAGTTGCAATGGGACCTGGGGGTAGGAGAAGACCCTATAAGGAAGGCAAGCTAAACACATAATATCTGTGTGCATGCAAAAAAAATAAATATGGTGTAATTGTATGGGTCGCAATCTGAAATTAGCCGTGTATGCCTTATACCGTTTTTCCTTTGGCTGTAAAAAAAATAAATAAATCCCAGTATGTCCATTTAGCTATATACTTATAAGACAGCTGACATTTGCAAAAAAGCCAGAGTTTAAAGAAGTTTGTATCAGAGTTACGGAGAGTAGTTGTGTGCAGAAGTATAAACAATTATATTACGATACAACATAGTGAAATGGTTATTATTGTTCTTGCTTTTACTTTCTTCTTTTTACTTTATCGAATACTTGCTCAAAGAAAAAGTCCTGTACTCTACTGAGAACATGGCAGTTACTGGAAAATGTAGGCTAAAAGTGAATTCCTTGCACCGTTACCCCGTCCTCTGCAGGAACTTCTGAACTGGTCACTAATAGTGTACAGGGGCGGACTGACCATTTGGAAACTCAGGCATTGCCCGAGGGCCCGGGGTCAGTAGGGGGCCCCTTGAGATGCCTCTGGTACCTTTTTTCATAGACTTTTTTGAGTTTGGGCAAGGACACAGGGGCCCCATGATCCCCTATTGCCCGGGGGGCCCATGAGTTGTCAGTCCGCCCCTGATAGTGTACTGACCATTCTGACAGTTCTGCTGCTGCTCCTTGACTAAGACTTGCTTTATGCTAAGGTAAATAGCAAAATTGTCACAGTTAACATTGCCAGGAGAGAGAGAGAGAGAGAGAGAGAGAGGAGAGAGAGAGAGAGGAGAGAGAGAGAGAGAGAGAGAGAGCGAGAGAGAGAGAGAGAGAGAGAGGTCCCTGGTGTCCCATTGACCTTTTGCTGTGAAGTCCCATGATCTACAGCTACAGTACATACTGTTCATGATTGTAATGTTAACTAATTATGTGAACTGGCAGAACTATTTCTAAAAAAAAAACTGGTAGTTTATACTCATGTTTTCCTGGTTTGAATATAAGGAAATGATAGATTACAAATGTAAATTAGAATAATACATGTTTTACAGCCATTTATAGAGACTACTTCCTTTTTAGGCAAATACCCCATTTCCTTGTTTTTTTTTTTATTTGCAGTAGTAACACAATACCTTTGGTTCTTTCTCTTTCACAGTAATGTACTGAGACTTTCATGTCAGCTTGTAACTGAATTAAATTACACTAATTAAACCTCACAGTTTCAAGGAAAGTTCAGGCACAAAAGCTTGGGTTCTTAATAATTAGATATGTGTATGTCAGAAATTTCCGTTTCGTTTCAGTTTGCATTCGTTGATTGAAGAATTTTGTTTTGTCATATTCATTTTGTTGAAACTGATTCATTTTGGGACTTTGTTTTGTATCATTAGCATTCATTTCGTATATTCACTGGTCTGGGCGGATTTGAAAAATTTAGCAGTTTTTCCGGAAGTTTGCTATATAATTGGTATATCATCAAATCAGAAGTATTCTATATTTCAGGATGCTAGTCAAACTAGCCAAGAGAAATGGCATGAACTTATTGGACAATATCAACTGGCATCTTGTGCATCCGAATTAACAAATGGAATTCAATTTGGATCCATTAGTTATCTGAATCTGAATTATCGAATGAATTCAAAAATGTTATTCATTTCCCCTTGGGCCTGACAAACTACTATCATGTGATGTCATCCAAATGAAGTTAAACAACTGTAGTTGTTAATTTTATTATAACTTTTTTTTGATTCATTGACATTCATTACTATGGCCATTCGGAGATTTGTATACATTTGAATCTCCGAAAAAATAAAATTTTCATCCAAAAACCAAGTGTAAGGAAGCAAAACACACATGTCTACTAATAATGTTCTTGAACAGTTTCACACAAATGTTAAAATGTTTTCCTAGTGAATGATCAACACAGAAAATTCCCTAAAACATCAGGGGGGATTGGCTAGGCGCATGCCGAAGTTGGCTGCTTAACTGTGGAGCTCCTCGCGAGGAGGCGGAGCCTGAGTATGGCGGCGGAGGAGAGCTCAATGTAGGAGCTCTCGGACGGAGCTCCATGTCCTGACCTCCCCAGGTCCCCTGTGATCCCCCCGAGATATGTAGATAGCCTGGTGGCTTGCCTCTTACCCTGGCCTGGCGGCTCCCCGGGACGGAAAGCGGAGGTGTTCGGGGGGAGAGATGTGGAGAGTGGCTGGTGAATAGCGGTGAGAGAGCGGTTGGATGCTGGGAAGTCGGCGCGAGCACGTGACCGACCGCAAAGCACGCCTGGGAGTTCGGGAAGCCGGCCGGCCGGCGTTCTGCGGTGAGAGATTTACATTGGCGTTTTCATGATGGCAAAAGAATTCTTAGAATGTTATAAATACACCTGTACACCTGTATTAGAATTTTCTATTTTCTTCTATTTATTTTTTCTTGCTGTGTCTCCAAAATGATCAGGAAACTAATGCATTTACTAATGAATGTCATACATTCTGTACTCAAATGTTAAACATTTACACACTTATATCTCAAATAATTTATATACTTCTAATTTCCCAATATAATTATATATCTTCATTCTCTTTAATCACGTAACTATTCTATGGTAAAGACAAGTGCAGCGCTATAAATGCATGTGATCAATAATGAACGCATGTAAAAACCAAAAAGTGCAAAGAATTGCAACAATGATGTAATATTGTAAATGGTGCTAAAATAAGTTCATAGAATCATTCCTGAATAATGGAATGTCCTTCGTGTGAGAGTACCAACTCAGAGAGTGCCTATGAATGGCACGTGTGGTCTCTCCGTGACGGACAGTAGTGCATGAACTCGTGAAAGGTAAACCACCCTTGGGACTGGTCTACACTCACCAGAACAAAAGTATTAATGTGTATGGGTTATACACTCCACACATCTGGGGGTGCAGCGGTATGCTGGCAGTTATGGGTTAGTCATCCAGCTCCATCCATCCATCCATCCATCAGGGTGGGTGCCCAAATGGTCCTGGGGAGGAATTAGCTCAGCCACAGGAGCCAGAAAGGTGCTCAATAGTGTAGTACACTGTCACAGGGGTGGATGACCTTTCACGAGTTCATGCACTACTGTTCGTGGTTATATTTATCTTGTGTAATACCATTTTAGTAGTCTATATCATTTGACCAGCGCTCGCTCTATCATTTTCAAACAATGGAACTATTCTACATTATAACTCAAACTGTGTCTCCCACAGTGGTTTAGTGGTTAGAGCTCAGAACTTACAGCACTTGGGTCATGGGTTCTAATCCCGGTCATGGCTACATCCTAAAAAATGGAGATCAATTTTCTGGGTTGTGTCAGTGCCAGGAATATTGATCAAAACAATTATGATTTTGCCTAATGACTAGAAAGTGGATGAATGTACTCTTCTGCCAATTAGGAAATGTGCCATTTTTCATGCCGTGTATATTTCATTGTAACATTTTTCTCTTTTAAATCTGTCTCCTTATACAACTTGACCCCCTCTCCCCCCCCCGCCATCACCTGTCCCATATGCAAATCTATGGATCACCGCCCCACTCTTTAACTATCTATTTACTGATCAAGTGAATGTGTCTCATTTTCTATCAGCTACAGCTCAGATCTCACATTATTATACAATTGCTGATTGTATCTCACCACTAGTCTGATTGAATTCACAATTCCTGGTCAGTCCCGTTCCCTGACCTCTAATAAACTTTAGGGCCAGTTCACACTACATGTGTTTCAGTTGCTTTTTCGGCATCACAAACGCACAGAAAGAAGGTTATATGGTTGTCAATGTCATAGTTCACATCAGCACTTGCATTTTTCAGTGCATTGCAGGTGCTGTAAACAAAGTTGACCACGCTGCATTGTTTCTGCACAGAACTGTACTGGAACACATTGAAACGTCCTTGAATGTACTAAAACGCACATGTCCCTAACTACATTGAATACAAAGAAAATAGAAAAAAATAAGTGGAAGGGATATAAAAATGCAATGTAAACATGTCCAAAACGCATTCAAAATGTACTGGAACACACTAAACATGCATGCCAAAAGGGCATGAAAAAAACCCATCAGGAACACATCTAGACTGTTTCTATAGTGTGAACCAGCCCTTAGGACTTGTTCACACCATTGGTGGTGCAGAAACGCATGCAAGAACACACATTTTCCAGCACAGCAAAGAAATGCAATGCCCTATGTAGATGTGCGCAGGTACCATGATGAAAACGTTGTTGCACCTACACACGTCTCTATTAAAAAGCCCCATTCACAGCCACAAATACGCATGGCACCACACTACTGTGCGGTTAGGTGCGACACACTTGGAAAATAACATAAAAAAAAAAGCCAACATGGCTAAAACATATCTTGAAAATATGGGGACTCTGATATCCGGCGACAGTCCGTTCACGAACGAGAAGCAATTCTGCACCCCCTAAAACCAACATAGAGAGGAAAGGATGGTCAAATTGCTGTGCTGCTTCCAAACCACCTCTGGCATGCCAGGGTCATTATGCAGGTCCTCGATGCCAGTTCTTGCCTGCAGCCACAAAATATCCACTGGCCACGAGTGAAGGTGAGTGGAGGACGTGAAGGTGGATTTCTACCAGCTTCAACCGCAAGCAGTACCACTCCTGAAAAATGAGAGCAAATAATCATTGACACGTCATCATGACAGTCAATTCTCAGTGCAGGCTATCTAGAGTGTCTTTCCTTTTTAACCATTTCAAGAGTTCAAGGAAACATTCTTGGAGCATCTACTGTGTTTTGGAAAGGCCAAAGGTCCCCCCCCTCCCCCAGGCACACTAATGCTTATGCAGCAGGCCATAGACGGGGAGAAAAACGGCCGATTTTTCTTTTAAAAAATGAAAAATTGGTTGTTCAAGCGGCCGACGTTGCCAGCAATGGTAAAAAAAAAAAAAAAAAAAAATCGGCCGATTTTCATCCCGTCTACAGCCGGCAAAAAGTGTCTCTGCAGAGAGCTCCGCTATTTCTTTGACAGTTCCTTGACATTTACAGCGGTTGCAACAATGTATCTATTGTATCCATTTAGGATACAGATGTTTTTATTCGGAAACAAATAGATACAATGTTGCAACCGCTGTAAATGTCAAGGAACTGTCAAAGAAATAGCGGAGCTCTCTGCAGGGACACTTTTTGCCATACTGGAATTCCTCTCATTTTTCCTTCTTCTTCTTCTTCTTCTTCTTCTTCATCATCATCATCCTCTTCTTCTTCATTCATCATCATCATCTCTTCTTCTTTTCTCTCATCATCCTCTTCTTCTTCATCTTCATCATCTTCATCCTCTTCTTCTTCATCTCTTCTTCTTCATCATCATCTTGATCATCATCATCCTCTTCTTCTTCTTCTTCATCATCATCCTCTTATTCTTCTTCATCATTTCATCATCATCATCATCATCATCTTCTTCTTCTCTTCTTCTTCATCATCCTCTTCATCATCTTCATCATCTTCTTCTTCTCTTCTTCATCATCATCATCTTCTTCTTCTTCATCATCCTCTTCATCTCATCATTCTTCTTCATCATCATCATCATCTTCTTCTTCTTCTTCATCTTCATCATCATCTCTTCTCTTCTTCATCATCATCATCTTCTCTCATCTTCTTCTTCTTCATCATCTTCATCTTCTCT